CTCTATATTTGGCCCAAAACAGTGAAAATGTGCATACGAATTTATGCAATTCATGACAAATGACACCGAAAACAGTTGCACTTTTGTATACATACATGTACGTGCAAGATGTGGTTCACACTCACCTTGCATGTATACAAAAGTGCAACTTTTTTTCGGTACCAGTTGTCATTAATTGCATAATTTTGTACACATTTCCACTGTTTTGGGCCAAACAAAGAGTATGGCTGGATTGCTAAGGAATTTCTGTACTGATCCGTCGTAATTTGAGCAAGATGTGCCGAGTAGTTTTTAGTTAGACAAAAAAGTATTAGTGGGGGGACTTTCTTTTTTGGTTGAGTGTAGTTGAGTTTTCTGTTACACAAAGTATTTGTTTATGACTGGCCCACAGTGTAGTCCAACATGTTCATGCACATGTACATATCATACCCAGGTTAAAGCCTACAAAGCTCAATTCATGCACTCCCCTAAAGTTCATACACATCATCAGACGGACGGGGTCATCATGAGGCACGATATGTTCAGATAATGCGCAAACCCAGTCGAGATCTACAGTTCAGCCCTGCTGCCGAGCTTAGCTTACGTGTACATCCCCCTCCATAACCTTTTCTTTAAGTTCATTTTTCAAAGCTCATCCCTTTCTCATACTGTCATTTGGCGCCATCGTAAAGAAATAAACACAATAAACCATAGAAACATCTGGAGGTCTGTGGTAATTTTATGGGGATATTTTAAAAAGTTCCAAGTAAATGCTCAGCTTTCAGCAACATATATAGCCCGCTTTAACCATTGTTTAGAGGCCATTAATCATTTAAATTGCCGTAAATGATAAGAAACGGCAGTATGGATTTAATTGCCTGGAACAGAAATGGCTAAAAAAAGAAGCATTGACCGTAATGCTTTTGTGTCTATACAGATTGTGTGCTTGTTAAAAAAAAGCTTGAATTGAATTTCAATGAATAACCATCCTGAAGGTGCCCTAAATATCCAACTCTTCCCACCCCCCCCCCCATTAAAGCCATGTGAATGTCCATCCCCCCCCCCCCAAAAAAACCCCTGGAAAAACCAAACGAACAAATAAACAAACAACCCCAACAACCCAACAAACAACAAATAGGTGTGTATGGGCCTTATTCACGAGTTGGCCATTTTGGTGGAGTTCCCTAAATGCATCTCATTAATTGTTAAAGCTATAGTCCATCATTTGCAGCCATCCGAAAAAGTAACTGGCATATTATTGTTGAAAAACATACTTAGTTGAAAGATAGTAAGTGGACTAAACTCCCTGTGAAATTAATCTTACTGGCAAGCTATCATTTTGATAGCTATCAACGAAAGAAGGCCTTTCCAACGGTGCATCTTAAGACGCACCGTAGGAAAATTTAAATTAGTAGTTCGTTTTGTTATTCGGCGCAGCGCGCGCATGCATACAAGGCACGACGCACAGGTGCGCGCGGTTGCTATAATTCGTCGGATCAGTGCGCGACATCGCGTATAGCTGCAATTCAAAACAATTCAAAACATGATAACTTTTGATTTGAAATTGAGATCCTAGAATGCTGTTTTTCTCGGAATATACAGCTGAAGCTGAGCTGAAACTTCATCAGGTTAGTTGTTCAGAATCCTCCATTAGATTTTGAACACTTTTGTTGCTTCAAACGAACAAACTGCACAAATTACAAATGATGGACTATATATCTTTAACTGTTGAATGGGATGGGCCAGATTAATTTATGCAGGCACAATGCAGCCTTATTTTACTGTCGTTTTTTTGTCAATCTGGCTTGAAACATTAGGGAATGTTTGAATACAAATTTCAATTTATTCATTGAATCAGACTGGAATGAATAAGAAACTAACTCACTTTCATTTCTCTTCGCAAGTTCCAAAAATTCAGATTTTATCTCACTTTCAATTCAATATGGTGAATAAGGCCCATTAGGAATGAGGAAACCAACAACTTAATTCAAACCAGGCAGAAACTACTTGTAGTCTGGCTTACCTCACCCTGGTATGTGATAAACAGCTCCTGTGTTTTCATTGGTGGCTCTGTTCTTTTCCTGCTGTCTGATTGGCCGAAACTGTATTTCAATAAAGCTCTTGTTCCCAGTTTCACAAAAGAGATCTATGCAAATAGTATGCTGATGGCCACAAACTCGTCTTTGGCTATTTTCTTAGAGCTGCAAATCCCAGAAATGTGCTAAGAATGGAAAACATTTGCTATATTAAAGGGAAGATACAACATTTGCAAATTTCAAAAAACGAAATGATCAAATTATAACAAAATATCTTACTGGACTGTTAGTGAATGACAGTCTAAAGCATCCTGTAAAATCGTGGCTCCTGGTGTGCTGACATTTTCAAGAAAACTTGTATTTTTCCAATGCTAGTCGGGCGACCATCGTTGGAGATTTTTTTTTTTTTTTCAAAAAACTGCTCCTTATTTTTCATATTTAGTTATTCTGCATTTTCTTTGCAATTGATTACGCATCCGTGAAGGGGTACAAGCCTGCTAGACTGATCCTCTGACCTTACAATCCCCAAAGTCTATAAATTGCAACGTTGGGGTCAGGGAACCCGACTACATGAACATGGTTTTGTTAGATTTTCCAGCATCTCCGAACCCAAAACGTGAAACAAGCCAGTTTAACAATATTATCTATAGCATACTAATCCTCCAAATCCATTTATTTCTGAAAATTGCAGCAAAAGCTGTATATTCCCTTTAAACAGAAACGATTTACCATTTACCAGCCAAACTTACATGTATTTTGCTTGAACTTGACTGGTTCTCCGCCGTTATATGCTCAGTGCATACATGCAAATTTGTGGGTAGATGACATCAGTGCTCGGACAATTAGTCTCACCCATCCCATCATGCCCTGCAGCCACTAATTTGCATAAGGGCCCTTCAGGCAGGGAGGATGATTTTCAAATTAAAACCGGCGAAAAATTCCAACACAGTCTGCCATCAAGCAAGAATCAATGCTATCTGCATTTTTACAGCCGGCCTCTTCTAATGCGGTGTTCTCTTTCGTGCACTTTTTATAAGGCTGCCAGGGGTGGCACTTGGATAGCCCTACCTTTGATTTCTGCTTGAAGCGTTGGGAAATTTACCCTTTTCTCAGGGGAAAAAAGGGGAAAATTATGCACGTTGAACGACGAACAAGTTTGGCCCGCTTCAAATGTCAAAACTTCTGACATATCGAATTCATGCAATTTGCATCCAGAAACAAAGTGGCACAATCATACCTCAGGCTAAAAAAATAAAATAGATGTGACACTGTAGTGGATATATTCCTTATTTTTAGGTGGGTGTTAAAAAACATGGTTGAAATTTTGATTTGAATTTACAAAAAAATATTGTTTAGTCACGGGGGAATCAAACGCAGACATTTATGCATATGAATGCAGTGCGTCAACATTGGGCCGATCTCGGCAAGGATGGCAATAATAAATGGCGATTCAAACTGTACTGAAAAGAAGCACTGCAAAAACATTTTAAAATGCTAATCTCTCAATCAAAACAGGTAACACTAGACACGGACAAATATCAAGATGGGCTGCAAAACACGAGAGAGAAGCGCAAAGCACTTTGAAGTTTTAGCCAAATCTTATCTAAATACGGTATTGAGAAAATGTTTGTTTGAATTCATGTTTTGTAACCTTTTCAGTTGTTAAAAGCATGTAGATAAAAGGGAGAGCATAACTTTGTCAAATACCGAAGTTACATGAGCAGATATTTTAGGGGCGGATCTATAGCTTTGAGGAAATGTATGAATGGGGAGGGGTTGATATTCGAGTGAAAGTGTAAAAAAGTAAAGTAAAGTCTGTCCCGAGCCAATGTGGCTCATCAGGCCGGCGTTTATCTCCAGTTTCAGTTGCATGAAACGACTGAGAATATTTCTACTCCCCCTGGATGGGATGCTAGTCTATCGCAGGTTACTCCCCAGCTAATGCCGGTACCCATTTATACTCCTGGGTGGAGAAGTGCCTTGCCCAAGGACACAATATATGACCAGCGGCTGGATTCGAACCCTGGACCCTCTAATCATGAGTCACGAACCCTAACCACTAGGCCACACACTCCCTTCCCCATTCTAAGGAAATTTGAGAATAATTTAGGAACTTTGAGTCAAAATGTGTTATTTTTGTCCCCATTTTACGAGTAGCATGTAATTTTGGAACAGCTGAGGGGGGGGGGGTGTTGCAATTCACACCTCCCCCTCCCTCCAGATCCGGTACTGATTAACATTGGTTTTTTATCTGGGAAAAAAAAGGAAAATTGCTACATTTTAAAAGTAGAGAATCCCTGGTGTACGTACCACTTTTCCCCTTCAACAACATGTGGTAAAATCTGTATACCAATCAATATCAACTACATGTAAATTTACTGCAGGCCCGCACTTTGACTTGGAACCGACAAATCTGACACAATGTATAATCACTGTACACACCCGGAAGATCTCGTTACAAACTGTTAACAAACGCTTATCAGGCCTAATTGGAACAAAAATTGACTCGCGTTAACTGCCGATTGGGAAAGCAGATGATATGGCCTGGAATTTAAATTCCATCTCACACTTGGTCACATGCGCCGCACTGACTCTCTTTATTGAATTACCGTGCGATTGATCAATTGGTTGTCGGCGCACTTTTTTGGAGAAGGACGCGTTCACCAAATGTTAAGAAGCGGAAAGCACGTAAAAGGAGACCAGGAACGAATTAGGAAGGTGCCAGAATTGGGAAGGTGCCAGGAATGGTCTGGCATTGATTTTATGGCGTTCCCGTTCCCCCTCCCCTCTCTCAATTAAATTGGTGTGTCGAATCTTGTGGTGTTAGAATGATCAAATCATTGAGCTATTTCAAAGTTCTTTTCCAACAGGTGCCAAATCCATAACTTTGAGGATAAAAATTTTGTCACTACAAAACCAACAATTGATATGACCTTGATATCCAGACATCGGAAGACTTAATTTTTTTTGTGTATTTTTTATTTCAGAATCGGTCTCCGCACCGTGGATCTCTGCCCAGCGGTGACGAGAATACAAGACCCGTGGCTGCCAACGGCAACAACAGACCCAACTCACAAGATCCATCAAGTGATGTAAGTACATGTACTCACATTGCAGTTAGGCAGGACAACATTCATTAAAACTCAAAGCAGTGTCAGGACATTACGCCTTCTGTGACGTACTTGTTTATTTTTTTTTCCTATTTTTTTTATTTCATACATCATCCAACAGCGGAAGCGCCAAAGACAGATGAATAAAATGATTAATTTAAAGTAAAAAAATAGCAAATTTGCATAAGAATCAAGACATCAAAACATTAACCCTAAGCACCCTGACTCCTTCAAAATCCTCTTTGCCAAAGTGGAGAAATTTGGAGGATTGAGGTTACACGGCAAAAGTGCGTTACTGATTTCGTAGGATGCACTTTGTCAAGGTCTTGGGCCGGACCTTGTGTTGTGCATAAATATAGGCCTGCATAAATATAGGCCTGGATTATGCTTGAAATCCTCCGTACTGCTCCGGGATGTCACTGGCCAAGCCTCAACATACATGTATTGACAGTCGCTGCCGCAGGATTTTGCAGGATTCAGGTAGTGGTCACCCCTCCACAGACCATATTCAAGATATAATGGAGGAAATTGCAGTATTGATGCGATGCTATTTTTCCATGAGGCCAATTGGAGGATTTTTGTAGGATTGAGGCTATATCCCAGCAAAAAGGCCTAGGGAGTTAGGGTTAAATTTAAATAAATACCAAAAACTGCACAAGATGAAACAGGCACACTCTGTGCTTGACTATCAATACATGAAGGTAGTCCCATTATCAAAATTAATGTAAAATACATCATGGTTATCCCACAATTAAAATCAAGTCTTCAGAACATTACATGCACTATAAGATGAGACAGGCTGACTCTGGGCCTAACCTTTCAATCCCTGATGTTAGACCCACAGTCCTGAAACTGCAGTCCTGAACCCATCAAAAGATTGCAAAACCAGGGGCCAATTTCATGGCGCTGCTTACCGCTAAGCAAATTTTCATGCTAACCACAGCACAAAAATTTACTAACCTTAAGCACTATTTCACAACGTGTTATTGTTATGTCACTGAGTTAAGCAAATTTTTCCTCAAAGGTACCGGTAAGCGTGCCTTTTGCTGTGCTTACTGCTTATAGTCTCCATGAAATAGACGGAGCCTCTGTTAGCATAAAATCGTATGCTTAGCAGCGCCTTAACATTGGGCCCAGATGTTCCGTTTTAACAGATTTTAAAAATTTGATGCCAAGGTAAGTTACATGTACATGTTTATTGTTTTTGTCTAAGTATCCCTTTTGTTTGCATTTTTAGTTATGTGGTATTGTTCTTTTTTCTCATTTCGCGGCATTTTTTGTGTGTGAAGATGTCTGAACGATTTCAAAATGACTCACAAATTACTCTTTACAACTCGCAGAAAAACAGTGGGTATATTTCTGGCAAATGTGGTTATTGCTATAAAACCTTTTTTCCTCCCAACTGAACAGACAAACATCATGAGTAAAAACAACCAGTATAAAATGGAACTGAAAAACAAAAAAAATGTTTTTGCCATACAAGTCCACTCGATGCTGCCCACCATTGCACTTCCGATGATGTCACCACCGTTTGGAGTTCCTCGAGACTCGCATGCAAAATTCAGTGCCAGCCCTCAGCTCCTTATTTCGAGATGGTCTCCACTAGTACGGCATATCGTATAGTGCCCACTCTACCAACCTGATTCATCCACTCACCGACAGATGCGAGAACAAACACTCCGAAAACGCTTACAGCACTAACCCCTCAAGTAACTGACCCTCCACAACAACAAGAACCCCCCCCCCCCCAAGCTCTTTGTTGGACTCTGATCTTTCTGACCTGTCCTCCAAATGAAAGCTCTTAGCGCAGTGTTGCATGTGGGTTTTAAGCCTCATCGACTCGCCAGTGATTACATGGTTATTTAATGTGACTGTCGGACAGAGAGAGGCAGCGAGAGCGCGGTTAGAGTTATGTGCCAAATTTAAAAAAAAAACAAGATATAGAGAGGTGGAGAACAGCTCGACAACTGCCCTGGGCCATTAAGTCACCTCCAGGGCAGCTTTTTTTTGTGTCCTTCTAAATTATTGCCGGGGGAGACGATCAGGCCATGCATAGTGTTTCATTAATTGTTCTTTCGGTAGGGTTGTCCCTGTTTCACGGCCGGGCACGCTCGGAGAATGGATTGATTTGAGAAGAAGTAGAGGAAAACAGTTGGAGGGATCCCCCCCCCCACCCCCCCCCCCCCCCCCCCACAAAAAAAATCTGATAACGTTGCATGATGTTGACACGGAGCGGGCTTCAGCGGAACTATTTTGTTGACTCGGCCGCAGCTCGCTTTGAGCAAGTGGGTGATGATGGGGTCTCGCTGGCTCATCACTAGATTACTAATATCCCGCCACTCGCTTGGCAGGCATGACAGGGAATCATGGCGTATAGCTGCCCCGGTCGCGTTTCCGATAATGCTATCGATAATGTAAACATCACTTTGCATCGCGCCGTGCTTTGAGTCATGAAGATAATTGTGAGAAGAAAAGAAAAGAAAACGATGATAATGGATAGAGAGTAAATGAATTTGAGATAAGGCATGATTGAAAACGTGATTTATAGATGTTCACACATGGGCATGACAGGCATGCTTGGGTGTTTTATTTGTAAATGAGTAGTATGACAGGAAACTGTCTGTTTAAGAAATAATGTGGACAACTTTACACATTGTAAATGTACATTTACATCTATAAAAGAAAGTCCTTCACACTGTACATACTATTATTCACATGGAAAATGTATGGAATATAATTTCATTGAATATTGATTGTTTATGACTTACATGTACTCCCTGCTTACATTAATTAAAAAATAGGCCTTCTACAGGTAGGTAAGCAATATTTTTACAATGTAGCTACTCAACAAATAATCATGTCTCTCCGTTAGTTGCGGTACATGTATGTAGTTAGTTACCAGTAGTTGGTTAGTTAGTTAGTTAGGAACAAACGTTGGCATTGTCTATTGCTCCTACATATTGTGACGGATTTCAACCAAACTTTGTCAAAAGTATCAGTAGCCCAGCCCCAACATGTCACATGACCAAACTGGGGTCAAAGGTCATCATGGGGTCACTGGGGTCAAAAACCTGATTTTTTTTTAAATTTCAAAACACTACTCCTTCCAGAAATTACATGGCACAATCACGTGACTCATGCATGAACATAAATTGAATTCATTGGCCCGCATCTTCCGAGATCCAATCACGCTTGTTCTTTAGCAGATGAGGTCCAGGCAAAATGACGCACTGACAAATTTAATGTACGGTAGGCACGTATTACAAATCGATGTATAGTTATCGCATGACAGATTTAAAAAAAAAAAAAAAAAAAAAATTGACGTACAAGGCGATAACAAACAGAGCAATCGGATACAGCGTGTATACAATGCTAAACCCATTTGTCCGAAATAGAATACATATACCGTTTGGAAATAAAACGCAGAAAACAATTTCGGTTTGATTCTTCCCCCATCTCCCTCGAGGGAGATTCAATCCGGCATTTCCTCCCCGTCCCCGGAAAATAAATGAAAAAAAAAGGGGGGGGGGGGAGACTTGTGAAAAGGGATAGGATAGCATAACAGACAATGTTATTGAGCTTTTTTATCCCTGCCCGATGTGGCATCTTGAGCCCGGACGAAAAGGGCTATAAGGTAACGTTCCCCTGGCGGGGAAAGAGAGGGGAACGGCGCGGAGGGGGCAAAAAATCCATACAAGCGTTGAAAAAGCTTTTAAGGATCGGATGAACGGACCTGATAGCGCCCGGAGTTATGTGTGAATCGGTGTGTGGAGGGACACTTTTTTTTTTGGTCGTCGTGTTCTTTTTTTTATTTTGAAAGAGGGCATTTTTATCCCCCGCTGATGATATTTGATGTTCAGGCGGTTGACACTGTCAGCTGGGAGTTGGGGCGTTTGCTTCGTGAGTCCGTGAGTCATGGCGTGGCGGCTGACAACGTTCACTTTTTTGTGTGTGTGCAAATTTTGGGTTTACGGCGACAATTCCCTATAGGATTGTGAGGGGGACTATTGTTACATGTACATGGCTGGGCTGGATGGGGGACAAAGACACTCTTGTACAGTAGGAACCTCTATGCATATAGATGGGAGTAACGCAGGTTGGGAATTCTTAAGGGGAACGGATGTTTCCTACCGATACACACATGAACCACGCGAGGCATTCTGTAATCAAAATCAGGAACAAATTATTTGTCCATTAATAATTATAGTGACTGTAATAGCTTGTTTTTTTTTATAAATAATATTGGCCTTTTTTCTGCAGTCGGAAAGGTCAATAGGTCATGACTCAGGTAATGCTAGAAAGTAACCCTAACCCTCCTCAATCCTCAAAACATCTTCTGGGCGATTTTTGCAGGATTTTGGAGAAATGGAGCCTGACAGTGGCAAAAAGTGTCGGTTGATTTTGGAGGATGCATTGTGTCGAGTTCGTAGGCTGTACCCTGCATTGTTTGTGTTCAGTCAATCGAGCCCTGCATTATGCTCGATATCATCCCCACTGCTTCTGAATGTCATCGGCACTGCCTCAACCCATAACAGTAATTGCTTGAGAATTTTGAAAGATTGGGGCAATGGTCACCCCTCCACTGAACAAATTCAAGAAATAACGGATGATTTTGGGGGATTGAGACTGAATCCAATTTTTACATGGTGGCAAGTAGAGGAATATTTTCAGAATTGTGGATGGTTCCTAGCCAAAAGGGTCAAGGGAGTTAGGGTTAAAGATTTGCCTTTGATTCTGTCCGTAGAAATGACAAATGCTTGATCCAAGTTTTGCAGATGTACATGTAGGGTATTATGTTCACCGCCTCCTGTACCAAGCTTGATGTGTTGTGAGAACTCACTAAAAATATTAAGTGCAACAAAATGCTGGACTCATTTTCATACAATGCTTTGTACGTTTCTCTCTTTCCCTATGCAGGTGAGTTCCCACTCTAGATCTGGAAGTGGATACATGGTAAGTCTTGCTGTATCATGAAAGCATTTCTTACATGACAACAAATTATAGGAAAAAAAAGCAACCAGTGTCAAAATAGCTTGTTTTTTCCCCTAAACAGACTATCCCATATAGGGGTGTGCATCAGAAACCGAGCACCAGACCGTTGATGTCAGGAACCGGTTCCAGATTATGGGATTGGGTACCAGTAACCAATTTTAAAAATTACTCTGTAACTTCTCAGACAATGAAAAGGAAAGGTTTTGAATGTCATTTGTGGGGAATTTTCAAAATGAAAACCAGGCTTCATGGAAAACCAAAAACAGATTTCACGTTTTTGTACATTTTAACGCGCGATAGATGACACTCACGAAAATTGAAGTTTGCACCGTAAAGCTATAAAGCTCTCCACACAACTTCCAGGATTTGATTTTTGGGGTTGGCTTTCGGTAGGGTACCCGGTTCCTGTATAAATACCCAAAAATGCAAACCACGAATCCCATATTGACCAAACAAGTTGAAACAAGTTGTGCCAAATACATGTACACATCCTTGCAAAATGAAAAAAATTCTTAACCAATTTTTAATAGGGGAAAAGGAAAGCAAAATACATTGGTTCTCGTATACATTTTTTAAAAATCCACAAAATCCTTAAATCTCATTTGATTCATGTAGTTTTTTCCATGAAATTTTTGAACTATATAAATTTAATTGGAAATACAGTCAATGCTATTTTATTGTGTTGACGTCAAGTTTGTTTTAAAGGGAATGTACAACATTTGCTTTTGCTGCAATTTTTAGGGGGAAAAAAGGGATTTGGAGGATTAGTATGTTATAGCAAACATTGTTTAAACCGACTTGTTTCACGTATTGGGCTTGTAGATGCTGGAAAAACCAAGAAAACCAATCATGTTCTTGTAGTCTGGTTCCCTGACCCCACTTAAAATGAAACAAGCAATTATAGACTTTGGGGAATTGTAAGGTCAGAGAATCAGTCTAGAAGGCTTGTACCCCTTCACATGTGTGTAATCAATTGCAGAGAAAATGCGGACTAACTAAATGTAAAAAATTAGGAATAGTTTTTGAAAACGCCAGTTTTCTCCAATGCTGGGCGGCCGACCAGCGTTGGAAAAATACAATTTTTCTTTCAAATGTCAGCACACCAGGAGCCACAATTTTACAGGATGCTTTAGACTGTCATTCCCTAACAATCCAGTAAGGCATTTCGTGATAATTTGATAATTTTGTTTTTTGATATTTGCAAATGTTGTATCTTCCCTTTAAGTAAACAGCAGTTTATATTGTCCCTTCATCTGTGAACACTAACAGTTAACCAATATCATTGCCTAGATAGTACATCCATCCATTTTCAGCTTTGTTGTTGTCACTGTTTATTCTTCCAAATGAAATCAATTTTTGCCACCGACCATCCGCCGTTTTTTAAACCCCGGGGCATCTATTTCCATTTGGGAAAACTCTCCTCATAAGTGACTGCGTCCATTCCCTAAACCTGGCCCTTTTCCCATTACTTCCAATTGACCTTTCAATCATTTAATAATTCCGAGAAGATTCAACCCCCTCCGCCACCTCCGCTCAACCCGTGTGACAGCACACATTATTAATAAATCCTTAAATTATACATGTAATCCATTTGGGGGAGGTTGTGCGCCGTGTGGAGGTTTGTCGCCTTTTTTTTTTAATTCCCTGTGTCGGAGCGATAGCGGCAGCAGCAGCGTGCAATTTCCGCGAGGATGATTTCGCGGATTCCACACACATGTCCGCACATGGCAAATTGTTCCGTCAGTCTTGTCTAACTCCCCCCCCCCCTCTCTCTCTCTCTCTCTTTTGCTGCGGCCTGATTGGATTTCCAATCCTTGCCTCGGGGGGGGGGGGGGGGGGGGGGGGGGGGGGGGGGACGGGGGGGACTAGGGGACTAGAGAACGAACCGGTTAAGAGAACAAGGAGGAAACTCATCAATTAATTGCTATGTAAAAAGGGACGGTTTTGTTTTAAAAATTTAAACTTAAAAGATGTTCAATTAACCTGAATGAAGTTAGAAGAATTAGTTATGCAAAACTTTATGAAGTAGTGCTGCGGCCTGATTGGATTTCCAATCCTGGCCTGGGGGTGGGGGGGGGGGGACTAGAGAACAAACCGGTAAAGAGAACAAGGAGGAAACTCATCAATTAATTGCTATGTAGAAAGGGACAGTTTTGTAATAAAAAAATAGAACTTTGAGTTAAAGATGTTCAGTTAACCTGAATGAAGTTAGAAGAATTAGTTCTGCAAAATTGTCTTCACTAGTGTTGAAAGAAAGTGACTCTCTGTTATTATTAGAGTAAAACTTCGCCATAAAGAACACAAGCTGGTTTGTTAGTAAAAACGTCATGCACGCGCGCATACCACTGATTACAAGTGCCCCTTGGATAAACGCGTAAGCTGCGTTAGCTTCCGATTCCAATGGTTCCAATGCTACAAGTTTTTCGCGACCCGAGCTGTTATGACTTTTTAGCCTCGAGCCTTGCGCATCTTTTGATACGAAAAACATAAAAATCGGACCACGGGTTGCTGCGCAACAAAAAAATTATTTGGCACAACTGCCGTTATGCACGTGTAATTTTATATTGGCTTTGCCTTTTCTTTGAATTATTTTGTCACATCTCCCCGCCACAAAACATTCCTACAAAATGCAGACATGTAAATTAAATGTCAGCTGCAAACAAATATAATTTTTTCTCCATTTTTGTTGTTGTTCTCTTGTGGATACTCACGAAAAGACAAGTGCCTGCGTCCCCCCCCCCTCCCCCACACACAAACAAATGTCAAATTTAACTACATTTCCACTTAAGGCACACTGTGGACAATCACATAAAATGTTAATTTGTTTCCATTTTTGCATGAAGTCGTAACACAATTTTACATTATAGTCCGTGAAAAACATGTTTGTTTGGACCAAGTCCTATAGCTTTGTGTGCAGAAACTATAGTAACAAATGGTACGTTGTACTCTTGGGAGACACGTTCTAGTAAATTTCATGTATACTGGGGAGACTTTGGTCATTAGGGAGATGTTTTAGTGTATCCCTAATACGGTATAGTTGAAACAACTATACCGTTAGAAAAAAATGACATGGTCGCTTAAAATTTCAAGTTGCTTAAAATGATTCCCTAGGTAGAAAATAGTACAGGGTGCCCCCCCCCCCCCAAAAAAAAACCCTCAAAGCACCATCTTTTTCACAGCTTAAAAAAAAAATACATTGTAAATCTTGATGCATATTTGACAAGGTTAGGTTTGCAACAACAAAAAAGTCTTTCCAATGGGAACATTTTAATGGAGTTATGGCCAAGTAAAAAAAAAGTGCCTCTTTTTAATTTTGTCCACGGTCTTAATTGTCACTTTAATACTTAAGGAATATACTGGATTTGGGGTGAGGGTAGTTTTGCATTCTTAAATTTATTAATCTTTCTGTATTTGGTTCTTTTTTATTTTATATATATGCAACAAGGGTCTTTTTTTTTTAGAAGAAAATGGTAGTCCTGAGAAGGACGGTTATGTTTAACTTCTTAGATGTTTAATACTGCTCTGCACTGCCCTCTACTGGTTGCCTCTCACAGATGCAAGTTTCAACTACCAGTCGCCATGGACAAAATGAAAAAGCGGCACTTGTTTTCAATTGGCCATAACTCAATAAATATTTTTCCGATGGGAAATTTTTTTCCTTGTTGAAAAGCTAATGAACTATACTTGGCAAATTGGTTTCAATATTTGCAATGTTATTTTTAAAAAGCTAAACAAGAAGGGCACTTTGAGGGTTCAGGGTTTTTGGGGATAATCTGTATAATTTAAAAAAAAAAAAAAGATCTTTTTTGGTTATTTTATGATATTATTAATATTTTTCCCCATTTAATTTTTTTTAAAACCATTCCTGAAATTGAGTTTTTCTGCATACACAGCTGCTTCTAGCCAAGAGAATTCATGCATATGCAGTTGGGTCCACCATATATCCAAACACTCCTATAACCACATGTACTAGCATGTCATCCTGTTCTATGCCTTGCCTCGCCGCACGGAGGCAGGCAGACCCTACACGCAGCTGTGCCAGCTGTAAAATACTGGATCCAGGGAGGTATTCGTTTTTTTCTGTCCGTCTGCAAACATTTCAAGCCTTTGTGCGACAACACAAATACCGCCGACTCGTTTGTGTTGACAGTACGGTGGCATTTTAAGTTCTCTCGTCAGACGGAACGATGCAGCTCTATGTTGTGGTACATGTAAATACTTTAGTCTTGTTCAAATGCTGCTTTGGAAGAATAAAACCACAAAAAGAATTAAAGCGAATGAATAATTAACAGTGCAAAAGTTGTGTTGATTTTTTTGGTTATTTTTTTTACAAGTAAACATGGCGTGAGCTTGCGTTTTCCAACAGACTTTACGCACAGGTTTGCTGGAACGATATTTTGATAAAAATGATATCCCGGGGGCCTTACAATAAAAGTAACAGCTGCTAGATCGCGTGTTGTGTACTCAACAAAATGAAACTCAAAAATACGTCCGAAAACACCACAGTCGTATGCGAATCCCCCTCCGAATAAAAATTCAAGGAACGGAACAGAGGGGGAAAAAAAAATGAGAGATTATGGATGAAAGTCAGAAGATAAAACGGGGGCTTCGTGGCGGCAATTGGAACGGTACGTTGCAGATGTGTCAGGCATTGTGCGGTAAGCCCATCCAGGGAATCCCATGATCCCTTTCATTTACGGAGTCACGTATGGGGGATTAACCCGCGGCTCTCCGCGGTGACGGCTCGGTCCGGCAGTGAGGACTACCTCCATGAAGAATGGATGTCGGGTTTCCCCTAGGGAGGGCCGACTTCTTTTCTCTCCGCGGTTTGATACCCAGGGACTGTTCGTCAGTTATTAAAGGTCGGTTTCTGCTCTTATTCATGGACTGCGCTCGCAGCAGCAGCAGACAGGCAGATACAACCAAGGGCTTTTGTTAGACGACCGACGCGTTGTCTTCTTTCCTGGGAATCTGTTCTGTGCTATTTAGCCTTTTTTCCCCTCAGACGAATTGGCTCTTGTCTCTGACAAAAGACTCCATGCCGTGGAACGACGCTGATGGCTTACAGACCCATCAGTTTTGTGTCTGACTGCTGTCAAAGAGCAGCAGATATTGTGGGTCTCGTATTAAAATTGAAGATTGTTACAAATTGATCATCAGAATGAACTAGAACAAATTGAAAGTTTATGAATAGCTGATGCTGATGTCTCCCATCAGTTCTGTGTCTGACTTCTGTCAAAAAGCAGCAGGTACATGTATTTTCTAGTATTGAAATTGAAGATTGTTACAAATTGATAACCAGAAAGAACTAGAACAAATAGAACATTTACAAATAATTTGAAAACCTGATTACATTAACATACTGCTTTGAATCAAATTCATTGTATTAACAGACAAATTTCAGTGTGGTAGATAGAGTTCACTACATACTAAATTTGATGCAAAACAAAATTTGATTTTGATGAGAAACTTGTGCTTTAAATAAAAATAATAGTTTTTTCCCATTTAAGGTAGTGCTTTTACCACCTCTTTTTTTCATTGATCAAAAGCTAAAAATCTGGTGAATCTTTAATGCATTTATTGTTAATAATGTGGAAAAATATTTCTATAGCTACATGTATGGCAATAAAAGTAATTTAATGAAGGATAATTAAAAATATTCACGAATAATATTTGATAGTTTAGTCAATGAATTTAAGATAATTTTGAATCTAGCTAAAGAATATCGAAATGTTAATTTAAATGTTAATCCAATGTCCTAAAAGCACCATAATTAATATCGAAAAAAAAATTCCTATCGTACATGTTGGTAAATCATTACTAGCAGCTAGAACATTATGCTGCAACCCTGCACATCTCTTAAAAAAAAAAAAACCATGAATTTTGGTCGTTAATAACGCAGCCGACTCTAATACAACTTCCTTAGGTCAGAGCAGATCATCCGGATCAGAGTGCTGCAAAACCTTCCTTCCAGCTGCCTTGTCTACCCCCCCCCCCCCCCCCATGGCCCAGCCGGACGTGTGCCTGTCCTAAGCGTAATAGTCGCAGAACCCTCCAATACCCCTAAATCTCTTGATGCCATACACCACCGGGCCTTTACGGGATGAATTAGATAGCTAAGCCCCATAATTTCCCATGGGTCCTGCATCCCGTCGGACCAGCTTAGTCCGTATTCATTCATTCATTCATTCATTCATTCAGGGGAAACCTGTCCCAGGCTCTCGCTCGCTCTCTCTCTCGTACCTCGAGTATTTTTCTTCCTTTCTTTGTGGGTGGAGGCTATTTGTGCATGCATTTTCCGTGATCTCGGGCTGACTTTGGCATGTTTTTGTAGTTACCTTGCATTTTTCTTTTTCCCGTCGTCGTATTAGTCTGGGCTTGGGGATAGTCCAGTCACTGGGGAGGTAGGGTGAGTCTGGGAGGGCCCCCTTGGCAGATATTCTGCTGCTTTCTTGACGGGATTTCAAACCTCTGCATTAAAGTTTCTGAATAGTTTGCATAATTTGTTTGATGGATTTCCTACTCCTTTCCTTCTTCAATGTCTGTAGTTAAAAAATTGAGGGTTGCATAAAATTAACCGGCAGTATACAATCATATCATTTTTTTTTTTTTCATGAAGGATAATTTTAGTTAGAATTTCAATCTTTTCCCTTGAATTTGAGCCAAAACTCACCAGCATCCTCGATTGTGCAAAGCAACTGCCCCATGGCGGCTTACAATCTGAACAATAGCTGGGACAGCGCTTTTGTCATCGAAGGAGGCTTCCATGAGTATACCGAGAAAACGTGCTCAGAATTCTCTAAACCACAGCATCGAAATAAATCTGACTAAATTAATCTCCAAAAAAAAAATTCACAAGTGAGGAAATTGCAGTGGTTCGAATCTTTAAATTAAAGGGAATATACAACATTTGCTTTTGCTCTGATTTTCAAAAATGGATGGATTTGGGGGGGGTTGTATTTTATAGCAAATATTGTTACACTGACTTGTTTGAAGTTTGGTGTTCATAGATGCTGGAAAAACCTAGAAAATCAATCATGTTCCTGTAGTCTGGTTCCCCGACCCCACTTAAGATGAAACGGAGCATTTTATAGACGTCAGAAACTGTAAGGCCAGGTAACCAGTCTAGCTGGTTTGTACCCATTCTTAGGTGTGTAATCGATTATACAATCATGGTCTCACTAAATATGGTAAATTGGGGGTAGTATTTACGAAAAGCCAGTTTTCCAAAGCTGGTCGGCCGACCAGCGTTGGAAATTGAACAAAAATACCACTTTTCTTGAAAATGACAGCACACCAGGTGCCATGATTTTATAGGATGCTTAGACTGTCATTCACTAACAGTTCAGTAAGGTATTTCATAATTGGTAGTTTTGTTTTTTGATGTTTGCAAATGTTGTGTATTCCCTTTAAGACCTTTGTTGAAACAAAAAAATTCAAGATTGTCACCTGCATGGATTTTTGCATAAAAGGTTCTCAAATGATCATTTTCTTCCAAATTTTTTTTGCTCTTTGACCTCTGACCCTTTGGGCATCGTCCATCCGTTGACCTTTTCTCGTCTTTGGGAGCGGCACTTGTGCGTGCAGGCGATAGATTGCTCCACCGGAGCGCGAAACCGAAATCCATGCCCGTGGTGCCTCTAATAATTGTGTGTGTCCGACCGAGATATCAGTAGGGGGAATTTTTTCACGCCGCGCTGGGCAGCGATCAATCATATGCGGAACTGGCGCTCGGTGTGTGCAGTACTGTAGGAGATTTTTTCCTCCCTTTTTTCTTTTTTACCTGTGCATGCGGCTGCTTATTCACATCAGGCACGACTCTTGTTGGGTTTGAAAGGGAAACATAAGAAAATGGTTGGTGATGGATTGTGCAGAGATCACATGTCGATTGAGTGGCAGGAGATATCGATATGACCTGTGATAGTTTTAGTTGATCCTAGGTTTAGCTTAGTGTCACAGCCCACTTTCTCTCCCTGTCAAACATTTCAAAACCCTATTTATCAATATGACTCCTAGTTTGTGGCCTTCTTTTAAATTAAAATCTGTTTTGGTTTGATTAGGTTTTCCCGGCCAATTTCCTAAAATGTTCATTCACTTTTGAAAATTGGTCATTCCTTTTCGTCTGAATTTGAGAATCGCTCTGAACACGCGTTTCATTTTCGCTACCAGAGCATTTGATTCCATTTCAGTTCAATCAATTAAGTGATTGAGCAGAACCTTTCGTTTATGTCCATTCAGATTCGTTTACAAGACTTCTTTTTCGCTTTTAGAGGGCGATTTCAAACATTCACCATTCTATTTCACTTTTAGTTTAATGCCATCGGTACCAGATACAATTAGTGGTTTCTTTTTTCATTAACCGTCAATCAAATCAGCTGTACCTGAAATCAATTTAGAAAAGGTATGCTTGTGTAAATGAATGCACAGGTAACGTCATTGGCCGTCTGTTTTTCAAAACCGAATGCACGGACAATGAAAATGATTGAACTTTCGTTGAATTGAAATGGGATTAAAGACGTGCATTCAAATTCAATGACCGATTTTCAGAAGCGAATTAACGTTCAGGAAATTGGCCAGGAAAACCTATAATTACTCATTCCATCATCTATGACGTACATGCATCGTTCGTAATGAATTTATATTATATCTTGGAAACTCCATTGTGTTCAAGTTTGTCAATTTCAGGTGTTCCTTCCGCCTCCCTCCAAAGCCATGCACATAATGATACCCCTGATCAATATTCATATATTCGGCCCCCCAAGCAGCCGACCCCGGTGATGATACCCACCAATCTCCCCTCTGCACCTGCTGCCTCAGGGCTGATACCTTATGCATATTCATTAAACACATTCAAGCCATTGAATTGGACACCTCATCCATATTCATGAGATACATATTATTGTGCATTTACCGGTTGTCTGTTCTTTTCTTTCTTTCCTTACTCTGTTCTCTGCCGTTCATGCGGACACAATCACATACACAGTGCGACAGTGAAAGCGAGGACGATAGGGTATGTACAAATTAAAATGTCTCTTGTATTTTAACCCCTTTCTTTTTAGGGTTGTCCTTGCAGCTTCTTTGAAATGGGGGGGGGGGGGGGGCACTGTTTTGCACTTGTCAGGAAACTCCAAACCCTTAAGACTTACATGTAGTTTCCATTGGAATGAAAAGAAAAAAATCCTGCAGCAGCTAAAAATTGGCCATCTGATGCAAAGGATTTTCATAGTGGCACTAACACTGTTTAGTATTGCACATGTACACACATGCGTGATGCTGTGTACATGTATCGGAGTGTTTACTTTTGACATGCGGAGTATGGTACATGTACATGTACCTTGTGTCGTCTGGGCAATATGTGCGTGTTTATGGTGTAAATCGAGGACACACACGTGCAACATCATAGATGAATTGAGGACAGAAACCGAATTGAGGACTCCTTGGTTGGAAAACGTGTTCAAAACCAATGAGAGCTGTTGCGGAAAAAAGTACAAACAAAAGAAAAGGGAAGAGGAACAAAAGAAAATCCTCGATTTACACCATAAACATTTCTGTGTGTAGGGTTTTTTAGGTGTTTTTTTAAGCATTTTTCAAGACATGTGAGCATGGAAAGACACAGTTACCATTTTTTTAAAGGTTTTTCCCAAAGCCAGACGATGGTCAAAGTGGAACACTTTGCAAGAGGTGGTACAAATCGTACTAGCAAAACCATAGAAATTAATCTTGAATGTCGTCTTGTACCAGAATACAGGCGGTAAAGGCGCCTACTCCGCCAAGCGGTCGAGGTGTAAACCTTGTGTATTTTTAAGCTTCTGTAAAGCCTCTGCCAGATTAAGCCGATTCTTCTTAAACAAAAATGCACTTTTTTAGTCGGAGCCCCATCCCCCCCCCCCCCCACCCCTTCACAAAAAGAAAATGAGTGACAGACATTTTGTATATCCATAATTTCAAATGAACGTTAAGACAAGTTAAATTGCTCACCGTCATACATGAAATTGAAGGACGTTGCCAAAGATTGTCATTGCCACGGAAACGATACTTCCTATTGAGTTCTTTACACCAGGCCGGCGCAGTGAGGCATTGACAATGTCACTTGAATGTCGAATCGTTATGAAAGAAGAAGACAATAAATTGCCAATAAAGTCCAATTAGAGAACATGAAATGATTGCCAATGTCAAATCATCGAGTAATGTTACCAATAGATGTGAAGTCTGTGGGGACATTGTCTGGTCTCGGCAGCGTGTGATTGGACGGTAATTGTCTCCCGACGGATGTAAACACCTGTCATCTAACTCACGGTTTAAGGCCCATCCTTACATTATGAGAAAATCACACCTCAGACAATGCTCAAAACAATCTCCACAGACGTATATAATTCCGTAAATAAATTTACAATTGCCGTTATTGGACAGGGGAATCTGTGAACAGGTAATTTTGTTGTATTAGCGGAAGCAGTTCAGATTATTGTCATTTTGATGAGAAATGTGAGGAACTGACAAAAGAAACGATCCATCTTTCAAAGCCGTCTTTTGATGTTTGCACATTTTTTTTTCTAGATCTCATGTGCAGTTTTTTTGTACTTGGTTGCACTGTTCAGTTCATTTTCATTTGTATTTACTCCTTCCATGAGATACATTTACATGTACATGTGTGCGTAAAGACAGGTGAGTTAAAGGGGAATATACATGTATACAGTACGACATTTGCTTTTGCTGTAATTTTCAGAGTTGGATGGATTTGGGGGATAAGTATTTCATTGCAAATATTGTTACACTGACTTGTTTGAAGTTTGATGTTCTAGATGGTGGTAAACCCAAGTAAACCAATAATGTGCTTGTAGTCTGGTTCCCTGACCCCACTTAGATTGAAATGGAGCAATTTATTGACGTTGGGGAATTGTAAGGCCAAGGAACCAGTCTAGAATGCTTGTTCATGGATGTGTAATCGATTGCAAACAAACTTCAGACTAACTAAATAAGGTAAACTGGGGGCAGTATTTGAAAAAAAGCCAGGTTTTTCCAATGCTGGTCGGCCGAATTGATACAAAAATACCACTTTTCTTGAAAATGTCAGCACACCAGGTGCCATGATTTTACAGGATGCTTTGGACTGTCATTCACTAACAGTCCAGCAAGGTGTTTCATAATAATTTTGTAGTTTTGTTTTTTGATGTTTGCAAATGTTGTATTAAGATTAGTAGTGGGAGAAATCGAAAATTTCAAAATCCGGTTATCCTCCTTTTCTTCAAACCGAATAACAGTTATCCGATTTCACCGGAACTTCCCATTCTGCTCAAAGTCATGCCAACAAAAAGTGAGGAGTGAGGTGCCACATGCAATGCCCTCCCAATGATTGGGTACAGTTTGCAAGATTCAATGACCACTGGGCCTTGACAAAAACACTCCAGAGCTGTAATGTTGAAAAAAAAATTGGTGGGAACTCTCTGATAAGTCGAATAGGCAGGCTATTCATATACATGCACCAAGAAGTCAATCAGAGACCATGGAACAAATTGGGGGATGTTACAGATTATTCTTCAGCCTGTGTCACAAAAAATGGAAGGCTCATTTTTTTTTTTAGGGTTGGTTTCGAATATCCAGATTCCAAAACTCAGAACCGAATAGTGGAGTTGAAACCGACTTTTAAAAATTCTGGATTTAAAGCCCACCATAAAATTGACTTTTAATTTGAATTTTTGCATCATCGAATTTCGCCCAAAGTCCATTAGAATGGAATTATTTTTTAATTTGCACTTTGAATAATTCAACTGGCCCAGCCCCAAAAGTCATCACACAGTTAAACGTCCCAAATATATTCAAGTGCCTAAATTCATTTAGTGAGATGGCTAATCCCACGATTATGACAAAATAGCAATTTGTATCTTCTTAAAAAAAAAAAACTGTTGTAAAAATTATGGCCCATACAAATTGAGCAAATAGTCTGCACTGGTGACATCTTGTCGCGGCCTCTTTGGCAAAACGAATGAACATTCAATTTTACAGTGTACCATTGTAAGCGCAGGGAATTAACATGGATTAAATGTACAAATGGGTTTTTGTTTGGTTAAGTCATTGAAGGTATTGTAGGGAGAAGACAAACGTTGATGGAAGTTAAATATGTTCATGGGTCATATATTTTGATTGGAAAAGTGCAAAGGTAACGTGGGTGTTTTTTGTATTCATTATCTGTTTTTATTTTGAAGTTTGTTTTTTTCAAACACCCTGTGAAATTATTCCATCAGAAACGGTATCATTTGGAAGGAAACAAACATTATACAAGGTTTCAAAATAATGCCCGTGTGCATTAGCAATGGAAACCACTTATGAGACCCCCAAAAAAGTGCATATTATCTTTTCTCGGTTTCCTCAATGCAGTATACTAGGGGCCTTATTCACAAGTCGGCCATGTTGAATTGAAAGTGAGGTAAAATCTTCATTTTTGGAACTTGCGAAGAGAAATGCAAGCAACTTAATTTCTAATTAATTCCAGTCTGCTTCAGTGAATCATTTAAAATTTGTAATGAAACATTCCCTGATGTTTAAAGCTAGATTTAAAATAAAAAAATTGCAGTAAAATAAGGCTGCATTGTGCCTGCATAAACAGCCATTGCCATCCCATTCAACAGTTAACAATTAAAAAAAAATTCATTCAGGGAACTAGACAAAAATGGCCAACTCGTTATTAAAGCCCATACCGGTACATGTACACGGTTAGTTGATATAAACCACCCTACTAGGCCTAAAGATTTGAGCACTTTTGTTTCTTGAAACGAAAAAAAAAAAAATGCCCCCAAATGATCTCATCACCTTAAATGGCGGAAATGTTTTTGCCTTTTTTTTTTCTACCGGAGGTACTGTTGTGCAATCCATACCCACAAGCAATAAACGGTTACATTACCCCTGCTCATGAAGTGGCATAATAATCCATCTTTTGTCTGCAATTGACCAACGATTGTCAATCTTTCCCCCCTGTCTGTTCATTACTCATTAATCACCGCCGTGCGCGAAGTCAATCCTACCATTAATTGACCCTACGCCAGACCGCCGTGGCTAACGTTCATTACGACCAATTAGTCTGCCAACGGAGCCCTTCCAATCAACTCTCAATTAATATCAATTGTGTTTACACAGGGCTGCATTTTCTCTGTCATTTTTTTCCTTTATGAGACAGTCGTATGCAGTGCAAGCGGCAATCCATTCAGGCTCAAAATGAACGCATTCAGTATGTCATAAAATGAGGTGTTGCTATGGTAACCGATTGCAGAGGTATATATCACAGTGGTGAAGTTAATATGTGCAAGCGAGAATGTAAGCCTTGGCCTCATTTTGTTTAGCCCCAAGTTTTAGAATGGCTGTTTCTTTCACAGAGGGAGGAGATAAATGGCTGTGTAGTGCACAGACGCTGGATATGATTGGTGAACATTTCTAAATAATTCCTTTTCCCGATAAAACTGAGTAGCCAATGAGAACAAGTTTTACATCAAATGAAAGCTTAGGAAAAGACGATTCAGAATCTGTTGGCGTCGAGGCCGCCTGGCCACAGGGGAACCAGTGAGTGCTCGCGGAAGAGGGACTGTAAAACGGGCCATTTTCGTCCAAACTCCACGTGTTACACAAAAATTGTCTTTAAATGTTTTTTTTCCAACGAATGTGTGCTACATGTATATTTCAGTTTTCTGTTCTGGTTTTTGGTTTTGATGAATAGTTTCTTAAGTGAAATCCATTTGCGCCAGTGCTGGTATTGTGCAAACTTTTTAGAAAAATGGGTATTTCCGAGAAAAATGGCAGATTTAGCCTATGTACACGGTGCGTATTGAGCCGATGCGACTAACATTTCCATACATGTATGTTTTTTTAAATTTCTTTTAACAGTTTCGGTAAACAGCAATTTATCTAGAACATAACAATTCGACACCTCAAAGTGTACCAGTCATGTACTTCATGGCCTGTGCAAAAAAATGTACTTGGTTGGTAATGTCGGTTATCATATTGGCATTTTCCAATTGTATATTGGCGTCGTTAAACACGGCGACTCGTATTGCTTTGCTCCCCTG